TAGCTACTAACAAGTTTTTTTTTTTTTTTAAGGTTTATTTACTTTTTTTTTTTTTTAATTTTTTTTTTTTCCAACGTTTATTTATTTTTGGGACAGAGAGAGACAGAGCATGAACGGGGGAGGGGCAGAGAGAGAGGGAGACACAGAATCGGAAACAGGCTCCAGGCTCTGAGCCATCAGCCCAGAGCCTGACGCGGGGCTCGAACTCACGGACCGCGAGATCGTGACCTGGCTGAAGTCGGACGCTTAACTGACTGCGCCACCCAGGCGCCCCAAGGTTTATTTACTTTTGAGACAGAAAGAGAGAGAGAGCACACACGAAGAGGGGAAGAGCAGCGAGCGAGCAAGCGAGAGAGAATCCTAAGCAGGCTCCGTGCTATCATTGCAGAGCCTGACGTAGGGCTCGAACTCACAAACCATGAGATCATGACCTGGGCCAAAATCAAGAGTTGGATGCTTAACCAACTGAGCCACCTAGGCGTCCCAGCTACTAAGATGTTAATTCATCTATAGTTACACTTTTCTATCATGGTATTCTAATTATTTTCTTTAGATTGATAATAAACAGTAATGCAATATTTAGTGGCTTTGTGGGACATTACCTGTTATACTATACACTGTTAAAAGCCTAATTTCTGGAATAAGCATAAGATTTAGTCCTTAGTCACTTATTAATAGTGGGCTTGGGCAATTAACTTGACCTAAGTTCTAGTTTCAATGCCTGTTGAAGGGGTTAAATAAAAATACCTGTATTTTTACAGGGATGCTGTGGGCATTAAATGAGGTAAAACCTATAAAAAACAATTAGTACCATACCTGGTATTGAGTAACTAATCACAATAATAGCTAATATTTATTGGATAATCAATAATCTCTGAATTTTCTAGTACATATTCCATCACTAATAAGCATTGTGACCCCTCACATTTCAATTTATTTCTGTTAGATCAGAGCACTGGACTACATGAAAAAAGTGCCTTCATGTTCAAATATTTTATTTCTTCCTTCCATATTATTTCAATTATATGGTAGAATACTCTAGAGTTTTGCACACTTGTCTGAGAACTCCAACTTTTTTTTTCAAGTCAATGCAGACAGAAGGAAACTGCCATTTAAATGATGTTATGTTGGGGCACCTGGGTGGCTCAGTCGGTTAAGCGTCTGACTTTGGCTCATGTCACGATCTCATGGTTCATGAGTTTGAGCCCTGTGTCAGGCTCTGTGCTGACAGCTCAGAGCCTGGAGTGTGCTTTGAATTCTGTGTCTCCCTCTTGCTACCCTCTCCAGCTTGCACTCTTTCTCAAAAATAAACATACATTAAAAAATAAATGAATGAATGAATGATGCTGTTTCCTGGGACAAATGTGCCCATCACCCAGAAGTGAACTACAAAGGTGCCAAGACTCTTGCCCTCTGTGACTGATAGAGCAGCCACTGGTTGCTATGTGTGATGCAAAAGAAACCTAAATAAAGCAGTACTTCTGATAGAGCTGACTCCTGCCGTCTGTGACGTCATAATTCAGCAAGTAAATATAGTGGGGTTGGCAGATAACTCCCATTTTCTCTTAAACACACATTTCTTCAAACATCACAAAACATACATCAGAAAGATACCTTTTGCTGCTCTTAATAGATCCTGACTTGTACCATAACAGTGGTCAATAAATTGTTTTAATTTCTTAAATTCAGCAATCTCACAGATAATTATTCTGCATATTCTCCAATAACTAAAATTATAATTTCCTATCACTGTTTTCTTTGTGCAAGCTTTAATAACAGTAATTCATTTTCAGCCAGTTAGGTTTGATAAAAACTTTCCAAGAGATATGGCAATTTTGAGAGTTCTTCACAATTTAAGAAGGAAATGAAGGAAAAAAAATACTGTACATCATCTTTTCATTTTGAAAAGCATCTCTAACCTAAAGACACCTACAGATTGAAAGTAAGGGGATGGAGAACCATCTATCATGCTAATGGTAGACAAAAGAAAGCCGGAATAGCCATACTTCTATCAGACAACCTAGAGTTTAAAAAAAGACTGTATCAAGAGATGAAGAAGGGCATGTATATCATAATTAAGGGGTCTATCCACCAAGAAGACCTAACAATTGTAAACATTTACGTGCCAAATATGGAAGCACCCAAATATATAAATCAATTAATCACAAACATAAAGAAACTCATTGATGAAAAGCATCTCTACCATCAAATGCTGAATCAATGTGGGGCTTAAACTCACAATCCTGAGATCAAGGGCCACATACTCTACTGATTGAGCCAGTTAGTCACCCCCAAAATACTGTATTTTAAAATAGATAAACCTTCCATCTTTTCCTTTCTCTCTGTCCCTTTATTATTTTTTTTAAAGCCCAGATAAGTAAATGCATATTCTAACCCTCCTCTGTGAAGTCTACTCAGATTGCAGAGCTACTTTTGAAATTAAGGCCTCGTTTACAGGGAAAAAGGCATAGAGAATGAGGCTGATGGAATTCAGGGACAAACTATTTCCTCATTTTTCTTCCTACAAAGCACTTTAAACAGAAGGAAGCTTGCAGATGCAACATCAACTTCAATATGTTCCATAAGGAATGAAGGGAAAACATGGAATGATAGCCAAAATATGAAGCATAACTGTGATGAAATTTTTTTTTAAATTTAACGTTTATTTATTATCGAGAGACAGAGACACAGAGCGTGAGCAGGGGAGGGGTAAAGAGAGGGAACACACAGAATCTGAAACAGGCTCCAGGCTCTGAGCTGTCAGCACAGAGCCTGACGCGGGGCTCGAACACATGAACTGTGAGATCATGACCTGAGCTGAAGTCAGTCGCCCAACCGAGCCACCCAGGTGCCCCATAACTGTGATGAAATATTGACAAAAAAATGAAACTGTGTTCTTTCAAACCATTATGCTTTTGTAGAAGTTAATAATAACAGACGCAATACACATCAGCCTTCTACATCAACTCAGCATTTTGAAGTCTGTAAATTTCCGAACAGCTTTACTGAGAAATAACTCATACATTATAAAAGTCACTACTGTACACAATTAGATACTTTTTATTAATTCAGAGTTGTACGACCATGAACAATTTTGTAACATTTTTTTATCACCTCCAAAGGAAACCTCATACTGATTAAGAATCACTCCCATGCTCTCCTAACTCTCCATTCCGACACCTAAGGATCTACTACCTCCTGTCTCTACAAATTTACCTATTCTGGACATTTCATATAAATGAACCAATATATGGCCTTTTGTGACTGGCTTCTTTCATCTAGACTAATTTTTTCAAGTTCACCCATGTTATATAGCAAGTATCAGTACTTTATTCCTTTTTACTGCCAAATAATATTCCTTTCTAAAAATGGATAGATCATATTTCATTTTCCATTCATCAGGTAGCAGACATTTGGGCTGTTTCTACTTTGTGGTTAATAAAATAATGCTGCCATGAACAGTCACATACAAGTTTTTTTGAGGATGTGTTTTCAATTCTTTTGGATATATATCTAGGAGTGGAACTGTTAGGTTGTATGAAGTTTGTCTTTTACCATAGCAGTTGAATAAATGTTTAACATAAAGAGCAATAGATATTCTAAAATTAAAGCTGTACATACTTTGAAAAAGCACTTTTTCCTCCTGCACTAAGTATGTTTAAGTTAAATAAACCACCTATAATGACAGAAAAAGAAGTTGCAAGTCATAAAAATTCTGGAAGAAAACTGTTTTATTTTTTACTTTTCAGAGTTTACTAACTTTGAAATATTAATATTTATGTTTATTTAAATCAGAACTGAATTTACCTTTTACTTGAGTGTTAAGAAATAATTAAAGAGACATTTCTAAGACTCAAAAGTAAACATATATGTACAAGTTTTTGTGTAGACATAAGTTTTCAATTCCTTAGTATACCAAATGAGACAAAAACATATCCACACAAAAAAACCTGCATAGGACTACATGGATGGAACAAGAGGGTATTATGCTAAGTGAAATCAGTCAGAGAAAGACAAGTATCATATGACTCACTCATATGAGGAATTTAAGATACCAAACAGATGAACATAAGGGAAGGGAAGCAAAAAGAATATAAAAACAGGGAAGAGGACAAAACATAAAAGACTCTGAAATATAGAGAACAAACAGAGGGTTGCTGGAGGGGTTGTGGGAGAGGGGATGTTTAAATGGGTAAGGGGCATTAAGGAATCTACTCCTGAAATCATTGTTGCACCATATGCTAACTAACTTGGATATAAATTAAACAATAAATTAAAAACAAACAAAAAAAAAAACCAAAAAAAACAAAAAAACCCCAAAAAACCTGCACAGGGATGTTTATAGCAGCTTTACTGATAACCTAGAAACAAGCAAGATAGCCTTCAGTAGGTAAGTGGATAAGCTACCGTATAACCAGATAATGGAACATTATTTGGCACTTAAAAAAAAAAAAAAGGAGCTACCAAAAGCTAAGAAAAGACACGGAGGAAACTTAAATGCTTATCACTCATGAAAACAGCCAATCTGAAGTGGCTACCTACTGTTTGATTCCTCCTATATGACATTATGGAAAAGGCAAAACTATGGAGATCAGTGGTTGCCATGGACTGGGGTTACGAAGTGCCGATTAGGCAGAGCAAGACAATTTTTAGAGCAAACTATTCTGTATGATAAAATGATGGATACATATGAACTATACACTTGTCAAACCCATAGGATGTACAACACCAAAAGTGAATCCTGATGTTAACTATGGTCTTTGAGAAATAATGAAACCGTTGATTCATCAACATAACAAGTGTTCTACCTGGTACAGGATGCTGATAGTGGAGATAATTATGTGCGTGTTGGGGCAAGAGATATGTGAGAACTCTGTACTTGGTGTTCAATTTTGCTGTGAACATAAAGTACTCTAAAAAAAAAAAAGTTTGTCAATTAAATAAAAAAGTAAACAGTAGCCACCAGAAAATAAATAATGGGACATAAAAAAATCACTTACTACTGTTTCCTTGGCTGGAGGAGGCTTGATCTGTTGACTGGGAATCAGAACAAATGTCAGAGTACCATGCATATCAGACTGCAACAGAAAGATTAGGTTATTTAAAAATTGTCACTTACAAAAATCATTCTATGACCTTATAATCAATATTCCCTAAACTGGACTATTCTGGATCCCCTAGAACACTTTCTAAAAAGTTGGTAAAGATGAATGCTGTTTCATAAGGAAGCACAAATTGGGCCTTTCATGAACTCCATTATATTAAGCTACTCAGGAATGGGACATTCTGCAATTCTGGTCCACCAGAGAAAGCCACTTAGCTTATAAGTCTTTGGTTTTTGTATTCCATTTGGTGTAAGCTTAGAAAAATTGCACAGCGAAGGATTGAAAGATACCACAGTGCTATAACAATTCAAGGTTATCTACTCTGGCACACATCAATTTTAATAAAGTACAACTTGAAATAGTAATTGTGACCAGGATTAGAAAAATGATGCAAATATACACATATTCTCACTTCCCAGATACATGGTCTCTGTCATTCATTCTATTTTTTAACTGTATGGAGTTTTACTGTCAGGTAACTATTATTTCCCAGTACACCACTGACTGCCTTGTTCAGATACCTCCAACCTGAACAGTAATCACAAATTCTGGTCCAGAGATAGCAGGGAGCAGTGTTCAACACAGAGACAAGAGCCAATAAAACAAGGCCTAAAAACAATGACCACTGACACTGCTCTACCAAAGCAATGAATGAGTTTGAGTGAAAATAAGGACATTTTATAGATTCTTCAACAAACATCAGTAGATAAGACAGATTCTATTGTAACAACTGATATTAAATAAGAATAGAAGTCTGGTTTGTGGATATATACAAAGTGATCAAACTGCCCTCAAAGACAGACTATGAAATGGCTTCCTGATTATACCAGCACTGTCCAAAAGAACTTTCTACAACGTTCTAATATGGAAGCCATTAGCTATATACTACTCTTGAACACCTGAAATGCAGCAAATATGAATGAGGAATGTAATTTTAAATTTTACTTAAATCTAAATAACTAGCACCAGGAGCTAGTGGTTATTATGTTGGGCAGTGTACATCTATACCATTACTATTACCTAATATCATTAGGGAAACAGCAATCAGTTGAAGAGAATTAAAAAAAAAAAAAAAAGAACTTAAAAATGATAAGGGTATGGACTTTGTTTTATCACTATTTTCCTACTGGCTAGCACATGGTAGGCACTCAATAAATATATGTTGAAGAAATAGCTATATTGTGATTTCAGAGGCAATATACATAGCAGTAATAAAGCTCAAAAAAAGAAAAAAATCAGTGGTAACCACCCCAAAATGAAACTCTACTAATAAGTATTACAGAAATAATTATATCATGTGAAAATTCAGTTAGAAATTGCCTAAGAATTTTTAATATTTTTAAAATATTTTATTTTGAAGTCTAATTACAAAGAAACAGCTTTTAAGAATCTAACAGTTCTTTTTATTTTTTAACATTTATTTATTTTTAGGAGACAGAGACAGAGCATGAGAGGGGGAGGAGCAGAGAGAGAGGGAGACACAGAATCTGAAGCAGGCTCCAGGCTCTGAGCTGTCAGCACAGAGCCTGACATGGGGCTCGGGCTCACAAACCGTGAGATCATGATCTAAACCAAAGTCGGACACTGGGTGAGCTGGGTGAGCCACCCAGGTGTCCACCTAACAGTTATTCTCCTGTATTAACTTACCAACAAGTCAAAAACCTCATTGACATCTTTCCCTCGAATTTCAATGCCATTAATCTCCAGAACTTCATCTCCTTCATGTAATAAACCACTTTTCTCTGCAGCACCTCCTTTTACTATCCGACTAATGATGACAGAATCCATCTCATTACGAACTGTAGCACCCTAAAAAAGGCAGTATGTAATTTTGAAATAGAACTGCACTTTTTTGTTAAACATTTCTTAATTTTTTTCTATTGTTAAACATTTCTTCATTAAATTTTTTTTCTATTCAACAATACTAGCTTTCAGTTATCTTGAAAAAAAAAAAAAAACCTAACTTACACAACTAGAGTAACCATGGTAATTAGCTTTGAAAGTTCATCATTTTCCTTACATTTTGTTTCAGACACACTATGTATTCATTAGAATCAAGCAGACTTCTAAAGTATACAACAGAAATATGCACTTAAAAACAACGTGAAGACCTATAATCAAATTTGTTCTCTAGATTCTGGATACTATTCATGGTTATACTATATTTAGACGTACTTTGTGAACATGACTTGTAACTATAAAAGTCCTTTTTTAAAATTCAAAATATGATTAAGGGATGAATAATAATCTGCTTGATTATTCAAACATTATATATTATAGCTGCAACCAATTCACATTTAAATGTATCAAACATTAGCATTCATTACATAAATTGAAAGCACAACTGAAATACATATGCTCAAAAATGGAAATATGAAATATGGATTAAAAGCTTAAAAGCAGAGTTCATAACATTTTTCTCCTAAACTTAAAAAAAAAAAATGTTTTTTTAATGTTTAGTTTTGGAAGAGATAGACAGAGGACAAGCAAGGGAGGCGCAGAGAGAGAGAGAGAGACACAGAATTTGAAGCAGGCTCCAGGCTCTGAGCTGTTAGCACAGAGCCCTACTCAGGGCTCAAACCCAGGAACTGTGAGATCATGACCTGAGCTGAAGTCAGATGCTTAAATGACTGAGCCGCCCAGGTGCCCCTCTCCTAAACACTTAAAATTTTCTTGTAACTTTCCCAATTTCTTTTTCTGTGGGGGGAAAAAATCTAATTACATAACTGCCCATAAGATACAGTCCCTAACTTATGTACCACACTATTCAAGATGTAATTTGAGACATTGTTTCTCTGAAAACAAAAGAAAGAAAATTGAGACAATGATAGCAGATTTAGAAAAGAGATCGAAAAAAGTTTTACATATGACATTAAAAAACAAAAAAATTAAAACATTAATATTAACATTAAAGAATACATATTTCTAAGTATATGTGGAAAATATAAGTAACTGTATTTCAAGAGATTTAATGGAATGAAAATATCAGAATTTCTAATTATTGTTTTTTTAAAAAGCTGGGAGAATAAATGAAGCAGATAATTTGTCCCTTCTTCGTTCCTCAACAATTATTTTACAAGCTATTATTTTCATCAAATCATAGGTAAGAAAACATGAACAAATTTTTCTCAACTGAATAACATGAGCAAGAGCAAGAACATAAAAGAACTCCAGCAAATCAATCTCAAAAAAGAAAAACTACCAGAGATGTAAAGGGGTCTTCAATTATCTGCCATATAGAAGACCTCTGTGTAGAAAGGATCTCAGATCAGAGATGTGGAACACTTACCAGCGGAATATCTCGAGCCTTTTCGATACGAACTATTTTTACAGTTTCTCTTCCATATTGGCCAATGCTTTCATAAATTCTCTCATCTGAAATGGGCTCTAGCTGCATTTCCTGCTCAGCAACCTTATCATGGGCCAATAAAAGTGCCTGTTTCAAACAAATCCACAGCATTTACAGTAGCAGCATGATTTCTGTAGAGAGATTTTTAACCTAATCATGTAGATTAATATTCTCATTTAAACCTTTAAAAGAGGCGCTATAATTATTTATTCAGATCTGTTTCCAAAGTTTCTAACTGAAGTACATATGCAACCCTGTGTCTTTTATAGCTAAAAATAAAGATGTGTTAAGTATAACAGGGTAACTCTCGGATGAGTTATCAAATGCTTATTAAAATGCTTATTAAACTTCAGGGGCACCCAGGTGGCTCAGTTGGTTAAGCATCCGACTTCAGCTCAGGTCGTGATCTTGCAGTGTGTGAGTTCAAGTCCCACGGCAGGCTCTGTGCTGACAGCTCGGAGCCTGTAGCCTGCTTCAGATTCTGTGTCTTCCTCTCTCTCTCCCCTCCTCCCCCCATTAACGCTGTCTCTCCCTCTCTCAAGAATAAACATTAAAAAATAAAATTTAAAAAATGCTTATTAAACTTCATAAAAACAAAATCAATTAAAAATTTTTTTTCCAACGTTTTTTATTTATTTTTGGGACAGAGAGAGACAGAGCATGAATGGGGGAGGGGCAGAGAGAGAGGGAGACACAGAATTGGAAACAGGCTCCAGGCTCCGAGCCATCAGCCCAGAGCCCGACGCGGGGATCGAACTCACGGACCGCGAGATCATGACCTGGCTGAAGTCGGACGCTCAACCGACTGCGCCACCCAGGCGCCCTGAAAACAAAATCAATTTAATGGACCAACACCATAGAAAATTAAAATTTATGGAAAAATATAGCCAAAAAAAGGGGAAGAATTTTTTTAAATCTTTATATTTTTCACAAAAATTCTTCCCTTTTGGGAGTACCTGGGTGGGGGTGGCTCATTCAGTTAAGCATCCGGCTCCTGATTTTATCTCAGGTCATGATCTCATGGTTTCTGATTTTGAGCCCCACGTCAGGCTCTGCACTGACAGTGGGAAGCCTCCTTGGGATTCTCTCTTTCTTCCTCCCTCTTTGCCCCTCCCCTGCTCATGTTCTCTCTAAAAAATAAAGTTGTTTCAAAACTAATGTGGTTAATTTTATAATTTTTTTTTTCAACGTTTATTTATTTTTGGGACAGAGAGAGACAGAGCATGAACGGGGGAGGGGCAGAGAGAGAGGGAGACACAGAATCGGAAACAGGCTCCAGGCTCTGAGCCATCAGCCCAGAGCCTGACGCGGGGCTCGAACTCACGGACCGCGAGATCGTGACCTGGCTGAAGTCGGACGCTTAACCGACTGCGCCACCCAGGCGCCCCAATTTTAAATACAAAAATAGATAATCCAAAAAATAAGTAACTATATAAATAAATATCTATATCTATATCTATATATATCTAAATATATATATTTCAACATAGTAATTTATTTTGCAGTGGGAGGTGTAAATAAAACAGGCTGGACAGATAATGTTTGAGGTTCTTTCTAGCCCTAAGAGATTTTGATTCAAAGAGATTTTGAATGCTAGAAAAATCACATATATATATACATACATATGGTTCTGTTCATTTTCTACCTGAATATGTGGAGCATTCAGCAAAGCAGTTAATTCTTGTCCTTCCTTCTGGTGGATTGGCTTCAAAACAGTTTGTACCTAAGAAACAAAAGATTATTTTTCCTAGGTTACAGGAAACATCACCAGCATCTATACAAGTCTTAAAAAAAAAAAAAAAAGATACAATTTAAATTAGTAAAATCTACTTATAAGAAAGGAAAGCACTACAAAGAATTATAAGAGAAAAAAGTCATGTGTTTTTTCTCAGAGTTTTCCATCTTGCTATCATTGTTAACAGTGTTTTTTATTTAAAAAAATACACTAAAGATTTTGGTATTTATGACTATGAATGAACTGTTTTTTTGTTTTTGTTTTTGTTTTAAATCTTTATTTTAGAGAGAGAGTACAAGCAGGAGAGAGGGGCAGAGGGAGAGAATTTTAAGCAGGCTCCATTCTCAGTGTGGAGCCTGACGTGGGGCTTGATCCTATGACCTTAGGATCATGACCTGAGCCGAAATCAAGAGTGAGACAGCCACTCAACCCACTGAGTCACCCAGGTGTCCCAAACTGTTTGCTTCTTGGAAGTTTCTATCAATGTACTATAAAATAGACTAAAAATGATTACATAAGGGAAGAAAAACTATCTTAACAGTTACTTGCTATTTTGTACTTTCAAAAATATGTTTATATATTTTAAACCAGAGATGACACTTTAAAGAGTTACAGACTAACGAGATAAGCTTACATGACAGTAATGGAACAACTACAATACCACAGGCACAGGTAATTAAAAAAGTCTCGAGGTGGAGCAATTCTTGCATTCATAGGAGAAACACTTAATTATGATGAGTTTCTTTTAGCCTTTGTTTCCTTACCTATAAAATGGCACCTACCGTTCAAAGTTTGAGATAATCCATATAAACTGTTTAGCACAGTACCTAGGCACACAGTAAAACCTTGGTCTGTGAGCACAATTCACTCAGGAAACTCGCTTGTAAACCAAAGCACTCATGTATCAAAGCAAATTTCAAGAACCATCGGCTCAGTTGTGATCATGTAATGTTTGGCATCACATTATTACTCATATTGTAAGAGACTGCCATTTATCATGTTAAAATGTATTAGAAATGATTGCTTGGCTTGCAAGACACTCACAGAACAAGTTACAATCCAAGGTTTTAATAATAAATTACTATTTTAATACATTTCTAGATGTGAGTTATTCATATTTTAAGATTTCTATATTAATGTTCCTAAATTTCTATGTTAATGTTCCTACACTTAAGCGTTAAAACAGTTTAACACAAGAATTATGTTTCTTAATGTTTTGATAGAGCTTGTACATAAAATCACCCGAGCATGGTGATTTTTTAAAGGTGGATTTCTGATTTCTTAATTTTAACTATATTTTATTGATAGTTACTTGTCTACTTTTTTGGGTTATCTGTCCTTAAATCACTTTGGCAATTTATATTTCCTTAAAAGAACCATCCACTTCATAACACTTGGACATTTAACACCATAAAGCTGTAACTGTATTATAATTTTTTAATCTCCTATGTTTGCATTCATGCTTTTTTCTTTCCTGATGTTACTGGTATTTTTTTCTTTCATGTAACTTGGCAAAGGATTCTCTATTTTCTTGTACTAAAACCCAGTCTCTCATTTTAAATTTACTGTTCCTTCCATTTAAATAATGTAATTCCTGGGATGCCTGTGTGGCTCAGTCACTTAGGCGTCTGACTCTTGACTTCAGCTCGGTCATGATCTCATCTCATGGTTCATGGGATCGAGCCCTGTGTTGGGCTCTGCACTGACAGTGCACAGCCTGCTTAAGATTCTCTTTCTCCTCCTCTCTCTGCCCCCTCCCCTGCTCGTGCTCTCTCAAAAATAAATAAACTTAAAAAAAATTTTTACAATTCAGACCAACAATCTGATTTTTTAAGTGGTAAAAAAAACTCTGACAAGCTATTTTACAAAAGATAGGGAAACAGCCTATAAAAAAATGCCCACTATATGTTAATACAAACTAAAATGAGATACCATTACACATCTGCTAGAATGATAAACAGGAAACAACTCAAATATCAACAGGTGAGTGGTTAAACAAATTGCGGGATATTCATACAATGGAATACTACTACTCAGCAAGACGTTACAAATACTGATAAATGCAACACATGGATAAATATGAAAAAGAAGTCAGACACAAAAGACTACATATGATCTTATTCCATTTATATGAAATGTTCAGAAAAGGCAAATTAGTAAATAAAAACAAAACTGATCAGTGAAGGCCTAGGGCCCGGGAAGTGGGAAGGAGGTGTTACTCTCTGTAAAGGGCCATGAGGGAGCTTAGCAAAAGTCACGGATGCTTCTGTAACGACCACAGTGATAGATTACACAGGTGTATATCATGTGTCAAAGCATACTGAACTATACAATAAATGTACCCATTTTAAGCATATGTAAATTATAGGTCAATAAAGCTGGTTACCAAAAAGATATGTCCATAAACCCCAAAACTATGGGAAAATCTGGGTGTATCTCCTTTACGCTTAGTCTTACCAAAATAAGATCATACTATTTATGTAATTTTATAACAGCATTTAATAACTACTTTTACTTGATATTAATTATAAAAACATTTTTCTATGTCATTAAATATCTTTTTCAATTCTAAAACAGAAATATAAACATTTTAATTTTTGTTGGCTGTCACTTACAAGATCATGTCCAAGCTCCTTAGTGTTATTCTTAGCATCATCTGATTTCTGCCTCTTCTCCAGCCCTATCACCTGGCACTCCTCATGCTATAACCTTTTTTGGTCCAGCCCCAAACTGCTGCTTCCTCCCTGCATGCATCAGGCTGTCTCCCTATGATGACCGTGAATGGTCCCTATGATGCCAGCTGTTCCAGCTACCTGAATTTGCTTAAATAACATGTACTCATAAGTCTGAACAAACTTGATTTAAAATTGTTGATGGGACCAGACTGAGGTCATTATAGATGGAACTCATCTTTTTCAGCTTTGTTTGGCTATTCACAGAATGGCTGGCAAACTGCATTCAATGTTTGACAAATTCAATAAAAGAGGACAGGAAGTCTTCCTTGATGTCTCCTTTACCTTTAGTCTCCATACAGGAACAATAGGTCCTATTAGTTTTCTATTTAAATATTTCTTCACATCATGTTCAACTGCTACTCAAAATCTTACAGCTGGACAATTACAATAGCCTCCATACTTTATGCCTCCATTCTTGACCTCACACAATTTCTAAGTTTTTTGCTTTAAACTTTTCTTTACAGTGGCTTTTTCATATAAAATTTGGGAAACATAAATATCAAAATAAGAAAATTACCTATCACCTACCACTTAAAGATAGCCTTCTTAATAATTTATTTTTTCCAATATCTCTCACATGCATGTTTGAAAAGGATGTTTGCATGTGTACAAATTATATCCATATTTTAATAGGCATCATGTTGAATATCAAATAAACCAATGTTTTTGCTTCTGAAAGTAATTCAACCTATTGAAATTAGAAACAAATTCATAGTTTCCCTGTTCTCCCCCTTTATATTTCACTATTATATATACTATTATGTTTTTACTTTTTCGTTGTAGTAGCTAGTCCCTCCAGAAAAATGTTAGTACTAGAGGTGAGAGTCTGTAGATTGTCCTGTTCCAAGCTTAAAAAGCAATGTGGTGGGTATTTCACCATTAGGCAAGATGCTCCCCATTGATTTGATATTATTTATCAACTTAACAAAATGTACCTGGCTTTCTAAGAATTTTCACCACCAAGGGAAAGGTACTGAATTTATTTTCAGGTATCTTTTCTGCATCATCAAGTTGATCCTATGGTTTTTTCCTTTCATCTTTTTGTGTAAGTTAATTATTTAAAAATATTTACCAACAAGGATCCATTATAAGTTAAATTTAAACTTATTAATATGGCTTATCTGGCCTTCAGGATCTGGACTCCAATTATTTAAGACTATATCCTACCCTTTACTCATTGTTGAACAAATATGCCAGAAACTTTCTCAATCACTATGATCTTTGTACCCTTTGCCAATGGAATGGCTTTTCCTCTTTCTTGGACTTCCTGGTAAATTCCCAATCATCCTTCAAGATTCAGCAACTTAAATTTTCTTCAAAATTTTTGCTTCCTCCCATCACTGCCCCTTGAATCAGGTACATCTATCACATGCTCTTGGTACCTTACTCATACTGCCATCACAGTACTTCTCATTAGATTGTAATTGATTCACTGTTCTTCCTCAGTGATAGCTTAACTCAACTTTCACTGGTCAATGGACATCTGGGTTGATTCCAGTTATTATCTGAATGCTAAAACAGCATTTGTACCTAAGCCTTTGTGTGGATACGTTTTCAGTTTTCTCAGGTATGTAACCAGAAGTGGAGTTGCTGGTTCATAATATATAGGTACGTTAAGCTTTAGTAGATATTGCCAAAAATTTTCCAAAGTGGTAGTACCAATTTATACTCTATGAGAGTTTCGGCTGCTTCATAAGCTCACAAACATTTGATATTGCCAGTTTTTTTGTTTTTTGTTTTTTTAAGTCATTCTGGTGTCTCTGTAGTGGTATCTCATTTTGTTTTAATTTGTATTTCTCTGATAGGAATGATCTGAACACCTTTTCATACTTATTGACCATTTGGATTTTTTCTTTCTGTGTCTGTTCAAGTCCTTTGCCCACTTAAAAAAAAAAAAAAAGAACAGTCTTTTTATTAATTTGTGAGAGTTCTTTTGGATTCAAGTTTTTGTTTATACATGTATACACATGTATATATCTCAATATCTCAAAATCAAATAATAAAATAAAATACTATTTCCTAGTCTGTTGTCTTACATTTTTACTGGACTAAGCAAAAAGTTCATTAAATGAAACCCAAGTTTTCAACCTTTTCTTGATAAAAGCACTTTAATGACAAAAATACTTGTTGTGGGGTTATTAATACATTTCCTATATTTTCAAAGATTTAATCTGGATTCAATATATAAATTTTATTATCTGTTATAAAATATTTAGTGTTTAACTGACACACAAAAAACTATAAAAATACTATTTTAAAGAGCTATAAAAACAGAGAACACTTCCTAATGTTTTAAGACATTCTTTCACTATATTCCTTGAATTTTTTAACTTAAATTTTCATGTAAAAGTGATACAACTAAAGCATGAAGTAACCTCTTCTTTTAAATACTGCATATTAAAATAGGTGGAATTACGAATGCTAAAAAGCAGAACACTAGGTATTGGACGTATGAACAGCCTAGTTATTAGTCTTATGCCATTCACAAAACCTCACCTGACCTCACTATCAATATCCAGAAATATAAAACAGAAGGGTTGAATTAGGTGACTGCTAACATTTTTCCAGCTGTAAAATAAAGGCAATAAATGAGTCCATTTAACTTTTAGAATTTTGTTTTCAGATTTAAGACTTTTCTTTGATGAGCTCTGAGTATATACTTTTTTAAAATGTTATGCACTCTAAGCCGGGGCTGCCACAGAGTTGTGCACGCACAGCTACAGGAAAGTTATTTACACTGCAGTACAACCACACACATTGTGACACACTGACTAGATTCATCAGTTTGTACTCATTTTAAGAACAGTCTCAGTCCAAGATAACTATCACCCACATATCTTACCACCACCAAAGCAACACAATCTCAAGTGTTACTGAAGATACTGTAAGGATGTGAAAGTAAACGTTCAGAAAGTCTCCTTGCTATGGCACTTTTAGAACTATGAATCATGTAAATACATTAGCTATCTTAAAACTAATTTTCAGATTAATTTTTTAAAGTCTTCAACCCTTTCTCTCCCAAACCATTTACTCTTTAAGCCACTTCTAGTTCGTTATCTCACTCAACTCCTAAAACTTTTTAAGCTATGTATGCCTTTTTTTATTCCTATTTCTTTTCACCCTTTCTGTTGTCTGTGTCACTTTCTTTAATTGGAACAATTCTGATCTCTCCTGCTTATTTCATTCTCTTTCCCACCCATTGTTCCATTCAACAAACAAAGGCCCAATAAGACAGAGAAAAGAATGATTATAATTATTTATCATGCATTCCTCCCAAACCTATACAATCAAAGTTACGCTGTATTTGTGAGTAAATTAAATCAAAGTAATGTCGGTTATTTTGATCTCTGCAAGGAAAGTAATTTTCAGAAAAACCATTTAAACTATAATAAGTAAAACCGCAGAGATAATTTTTTAATTAAAAATTTTAAATTTTAATTTCATATTTAATTTCAATAATGAAAGATGAGCACAAAGAATGAGTTTCAACTAGCTCTTTTAAATTCGAGTGGACAGAAAACTTCCTCTCTAGGAACAGGACCTTAGGTCACACTCTCCTGCCCTGGGTAATAATAGACTTCTCTCAGTTACTCTTGTCCACTGTATGCACCTAAATAAAATACATTCTGTGCTCATCTGAAAAAAATGCCTCCTAAGGTATTTTATAGGTCTGTAGTTCTGAAAGTACTACTCTTCCCCAGAGCCCATTTTCTGTCTAGTGTCTGGGTTTAATCAAATAGATTTACTTGATGGGCTTCCAGAATTATTAGTTTTCATAATATCAAAATAACTTAAAATCCTATAATGACAGAATTCTACCCCCCAAAACAGGAAATGACTTACTTATATCTTTTTAAAACCTTCAATTTATTATTTTATTTCTAGACAGAGAGAAAATCTTAAGCAGGCTCCACACTCAAGTGTGGAGTCTGACGTGGGGCTAGATCACACAACCCTGGTATCATGACCTGAGCTGAAATCAAGTCAGACACTTAACTGACTGAGCCACCCAGGTGCCCCTAAAACCTTCAGTTCAAAAGATGTTTGCAGAATACATTAACACTGAACATCAACACCAACAAACAGTAGAAACTAGAACTTCAAAGTCAGCATGTTAACAATAGAATGTCTCACTGTACATCAAATTTCAATTATTTTGGAGCTTCTATAGTTTTTAAAGAGGAAAAACTTCAAAGTATCTACAAGCAACAAATTTCAGAAGTTATATATTTATGACACCTGATTATCAGACAGAATTTTATCTCATTAGTACTCATCTCAGTTTATAATGTATAATGCTTAAAACTATACATTTATAAAAGTACTAAAACACTTCCCTTTAGTAATTTAGACAAATATTTCTCTCACTATGTAAACATAATTTTATATATAAAACTAGAACTTCTTTTCATGAAACAGAGCTCTGACTCTGAACTAAGTATGTATTTTTTCAGGATAAAATGCATTTGGCAAATTTTTCCTAACACAATAAATTAGTAACATGTGATCAGTAGTAATTAATTCAAACAAGCCTTATATTCACATCAGTATTTTCCAATAATACTGCCTTACTATCGCTAACAATTAGCTTGTATATGTCAAGCAGATGTTCAGAATACATACCTCTTGTGCAAGATCTTGTGCATTGGAGATAAGAGGAAAAGGAGGACTGGCCTTGTTCATGTGTACTGTGACAGCGTTGTGTATCTTAAATGCATTCTGGAAATCTTTATTTTGTACGAGTTGTAAAAGCAGTGAGATATCCTCCTGGCTCTGAGAATCTACCAAAGTATGTTGGATATGTTTAAGTGAAGAAAACAAGTCTTCCACTTCTAGTAGGAGAAGGAAAAGTATCCAAAAATTAATTGTTTCTGTTTTAATTCAACATATTTTAAGATAAACTTTCTTGAACCAATAACAATTTCTCAAAAAAAAGTTCTCAAAAAAACTCCTTGCATATATTTTTGAGTTAATTCACTGTCATTTTTAAGCAGAACTCTACAAATTATACAAAATAGAATAACATTTTTTCAAAAGTGTTTTAAGTACAAAACTAATACATATGACAAAAATAAATGAGTAGGAATACAGACATGAATAAATAAATTTAAAACCAATAGTTCCATCATCTAGAAACTTTTTTTAACATCTTAGATCATTTCCTTTTTAAACAGTACTTTTTAATTACATCACCAGTCTTTTAAAAACATTATATATAATTGCTCCATTACACTAAAGTTAAGCATTCAGGTTGCTTCCCTCCAATTTTTTGCTACTATACGTAATAAGCATTTCAGTACATAATGATTGCTGAATACAAATTTGTCTGAGATTCTGATGTTTTCCTAAAATAACTCCTAGAAATAGAATTTTTAAGTGAGATTCTGACCTTTTAAAGACCAAACAGCTTTCCAGGAAAGTTTTACTAATTTAATTTACATCCCATTAGCAATATTTTCCCCAATATTCAATATTACAGTTCTATAAAATCAATTTATTTAATGGAGAGGGTGAGATTTAGTAACATTTACCAGGCACTTCTTTGTGATTCATAAAACTCTTGTGAACATGAGTCTCCTAAAATTATATTGAAAGCTGTGGGCACATATTATGTGTGTGCATGCCTGTTAGTGTGCATATATAGCACGTGTATTTTTCTGGGAGGGAGTTATCCCAAAATGGTTAAGAACCATGAGTTGTCTCTTCCCTGCCCCCCAATAAGGTAGATGTATGCATGTGTTTGTATACACTTTGTCACATTTGTTGGCAACAGTTTAATTTTTTCATTTGTTAGCTGTATATATGGTAGCCTTTACTACAGAAAAATTATTTCACTGTTTCTATACTTACAAACTCCTTCTCCCAGGTCATTAAATATCTTCCTATATTTCTTTTGGTTTCTACTTCATAATTAACTTTGACCTATCTGAAATTTACTATTAGAAATTTGAGGGGGAAACTTTAACTTCAATTTTTTTCTTCCAAGTGGTTAACAATTATTGTAATACCATCTACTGAATAATCCTTCCTGTTCCACTGATGTATGACACCACCAAATTCTTACATATAATGATCTGTTTCTAGTCCACTGGTCTAATCAGAACCACAATATCTTATTATAGTAGCATTACAGTCTTTCCTCATATTAATAATACAAGTACTTGCTCGTTACTTTTTCAAAAATGTCTTTTAACCATTCAAAATGAGTTACAGAATCACTTTTCAAGGTACTTCCCAGTTGTCTCCCATTCCTGCAAAAAAGAAAAGTCCATGGGGCGCCTGGGTGGCGCAGTCGGTTAAGCGTCCGACTTCAGCCAGGTCACGATCTCGCGGTCTGTGAGTTCGAGCCCCGCGTCAGGCTCTGGGCTGATGGCTCAGAGCCTGGAGCCTGTTTCCGATTCTGTGTCTCCCTCTCTCTCTGCCCCTCCCCCGTTCATGCTCTGTCTCTCTCTGTCCCAAAAATAAATAAACGTTGAAAAAAAAAATTAAAAGAAAAGTCCTATTGAGATTCTGACTGAAACTAAACCTGTATACAAGTCTGGGAAAAACTTACAGTGGATACTACCGGTCTCAGTCACATGGGAAAAACCCTCTCAGCTTAAGTCTTTTTTGTTAGTTTTCTTCATGTAAGGTTTGCAGAAAAGCTACTACTTCTTATACACGTATCTTATAACCTACTACTTAACAGTTAAGTTTTTTCATAGATTCGAATAGTTCTTCAGCTGATTCCTGAGGTTCCTTATCTTTTCCCCCCAATCAAAACAGGTTTAGTCCTTATAAAATAAACAGATATGCTCTTTAGTAATCTAAAATAGCAAATAATCTAAAGCAGCAAATAGTGGGGGGATAAAACTGGAGAGTCAAAACTGTCAATCAGATAGGCCAAGAAGCTGTGACCCAGAGCTAAATAAAACTTAATAAACAGCTAGAATTTAACCATAGCTAAGATGGCATCTTTTTTTTTTCATGTGCATTTATTTTTGAGAGAGGGACAGAGCTCGAGAAGGGGAAGGGCAGAGAGAGAAGGAGACTTAGAATCTGAAGCAGGCTCTAGGCTTTGAGCTGTCCACACAGAGCCCGATGTGGGGCTCGAAACCATGAGTTGTGAGATCATGACCTGAGCTGAAGTTGGACACTTAACCAAATGAGCTACTCATGTGCCCCTTTAAGATGGTATCTTTAACAGTAGACAGAAAGAATACAGGTAAAGGGAACTGGGAGATGTTGGTCAGAGCACAAACTTGGTTTTAAGGTGAATAAGTTCTGAGGATCTATATGATGACTATGTCAATAATACTGTATTGTGTACTTGAAATTTGCTGAGTAGATCTTAAGCATTCTCATACTACACACAGTAACTGAGGTGATGGATGTGTTAATTAACCATGTATACATCAAATTATCACATTATACACTTTGGATAAATACAATTTTACTCGTCAAATATACTTCAATAAAGCTGGGGGGTGCAGAAAAAGGTTATGGACTATCAGATTCGACTAAATTCAAAGAGGTCACCATGGAATTACTAAGCGAATAAAGAATTTCTAAGAGCATAAAGAATTCAATAGGCTTAAACTATCTTTAGAGCAAAACAGGAAAACATTTAATTAAAAAGGAAAAAGAATTACAAAACCAACAAAGTAGTTAAGATACTTGGGAGACTATCTTAGATTTCACTGGGTGGATAATGAAATTCCTGTTTTAAAATTTTAGTAAATAAGAGCTCTGACTGGCTGTTGGGGCAATGAGAAAAATCAAGGGCTTCAGATCGCACTGCTCCCTGAAATCAATACACAACTTTATTCAGCCCAAAAGATAACCATCTATTGTCTTTTCAACCCCAAGATATTTAAACTTTTAAAGGCAAAGGAACTTTTGCATTAATCTCTTTTGTGTACCAAAGTCACCCATAAACAATACTGACATTGTAAAAAACAAACAAACAAAACTCTATTGTTGTATCTTCCAGCTAGAATTACTGGTGTTAATTTGTTATACTGCCTTTCAGATTTTTTTTTTTTCTTTTAAATCTGGGGCACCTGGGTGGCTCAGTTGGTTAAGCATCACGATCTCACGGCTCATGATCTCATGGCTCAGAACTGTGTGCTGACAGCTCCGAGCCTGGAGCCTGCTTCGGATTCTGTGTCTTCCTTTTTCTCTGCCCCTCTCCCACTCACACACTGTCTCTCTCTCAAAAATAAATAAAAATTACAAAAAAAATCCTGATCTAACTGTATAGGTCACAGAGTAAATGTTCTGCAATCTGATATTTTCCAATTTCTTTAGAATTTGTAAAATAAAATTACTGATCAGAAAACAACATTTAAAACTTTGATACATATTGACAAATTGTCCTCCAGACTGTTACTAATACTCCTACCAGCAACTAACTTGAGTGCTCATTCCTACAAATGACCAAATTATAAGGATTAATTTTTTCATTGTTGGTGACCTGGTTAGGAAAAAATATATTTCTTAGCCTAGTAGTGAGATTGAATATATTTTCACAAGGTTAACAGCCATTTGTATTTCTTCTTTCATCTTTTTTCTGCTTCTCTTTTGCCTATTTTTCTATTAGAGGTTTTTTCCCTTAATGACTGGAATGACACTGATTATATAAGTATCTTAAGTCTTATGCAGAACTTACTGAATGTAACTATCTTTTCTTGCTTTAACAAAACAGTAATTTTAATTGAGGATATTTACGAGAATTACTAAAAGAATGTATAAATTTTTGTCCTGAGTTCTACCTCAAACACAATCAGAATTTGTGTCTTTTTTAATGATATATGAAGTATAAATATAAATACATATGCATTAAGTTTATTATAATGTACCTTTCTGGTTAAGAACCACAGACTTAAAGGCTTTATTAACCTCAGTTACTATAATATTTTAAGACATGATATACTGAGTACTAAGGTAGTCAAACCTATTTTCTTCTATACTAAATGACCTTGATTGCTATATTGAGTTTTGTGTCTGTTTTTTATAGTTATTCTATTGCTGCATTGGCAACTGGTTTCTTTTGTTGCCCTCTTCTTGCTTCTATTGTAAACACAGCATATAATTCTTATTTAGAATACTGTAAGTATAAAATAAGATACTGTAGTTATATGCCATAAAGAAAGAAAAAGAGAAAGTAAGGTAGAGTACCTCAAACTAGGAATGGCTTAATGAGAGATGCAACTTAAAATCAATGACCTTATTTCAGGAGAGCAGTTAACAGTTGAGACACTGCTCAGATAGGAAATTTTGTGGAAATAGGAAATTTTGTGGTTAGTCCAAAATGGATAGCATAAGGAATGCAGGTTCAGAGAAAGATGAAATCTGGCCAATTTGTGCATATTGAGTTCTAAAGCCACAAAGACCACCTAGGAGAGTTTAAAATCCAAGAGAAAAATAACACTTCTCAGTCAAACTGGAAATGTCTTTCACTCAGAAGGTCAGGGACCAAGGTAAGGTCTATAGGAAGAGGAAAACTATAAAGCATAATACAACAGAGTCCCAAACAGGTTAAAAGACCTAGTAGCTACTTACATTAAGTAATATGTTGTGGGAGAACCTAAGGATCTTACCAATGCTAGAAATATTAAAAAACTTAACTAGGCCTAAGGTTCAAGATTATTAGGCTAACATCAAGACCAATTTAAACTTGTTATTTTTCATTCTTTACAACTTCACTCACCTCTTTGAAGTCCTAGTCACATTTTTGTTTAGTAAAAACTGTCTTCATTGAAATTATCTTTTCTTAGGAACTATCTCTAGACTTATTACATTATGAATGTTGCCAGACTGAATTGAGATCACCTGCACTTAAGCTCAGCTT